ACCTCTGAAAAGAAGGGTTAGGTGAAGGAGCAGCAGGAGATAAACTGGAGGATGAAGAGAAGAGAGAGAGAAGAGAATGCGCTGTACAATGGGAACAAGCCCAGATCAAGATCAATCAGGGAAATAGAGACATAGATGAGAAAAAACCCACAGCAAAACCTTCATATAACGCAGTAGGGTTCCCTTGGTAACCTGGATTTTCTGCAGTAGAGGAGTGTGGTGCTGAAGCAGCGCCGAAGCTCCCTGTTGGAGAAGATGCAGATGAAAGGATTGACCCCAGCTTGGGCAAAGCTCATCCACACGGCTGCTGTCAGGTAGCCCCCAGGGACCACAGGGCCCCTTGCAAACACCCGCCAATAGCAGGCGACCAGATAGGGCCCCCACAGTGCCAGGAAGAAAAATGTCATGATGTAGAACATCCTACTAATCCTCTTCTCTGTTTTGAATTCATCCAATACCAATAGACGCCTGCGGCCCGCTGCGTTGCTGTTCTGCCTGATGCCAAGCAAAGTAGGCGGGGTGGGGCCTCGACCAAATCCAGCTAGCCAGTTGGCCGCTGCCTGGCCGCTGGCGCCTGGCCCATGGAAGGTCCAGTTCTGGCTGACAGCAGGCACGAACTGGACAGGCTTCATCTTTCGACGGTCATGAACGAAGAAGATGAGCTTGAGGTAAACCAGCTGTGTGGCCAGGAGGATGAGCGCCAGCAGGAGCATGAAGCCCAGTGAATCATTCGCCCTGAAGGAACGGTGCTGGAATGTGCACTGGTCCTCCTCACGGATAAAAGAGTACGTCCCTACGTCTAGCACCGGCGGGAACGCCATAGCCACTGACAACGTCCACACCATGCAGATGACAGCTAGACAGGTCCAGAAGGTCAGCCTCTTGGTGTAGAAACGGTGATGTGCGATGGCCAGGTAGCGCGTGACACTGACACAGAACAGCATAAATGCCGTGTGGAAACAGGAGAGCACACCCAGGAAGGCGATCACTTTGCAGGTCAGCGTGCCATAGGTCCAGACAGATCCATTCTTGACGGAGGTGAAGACAAAGGGGAAGCAGATGGCGGAGCGTAGGATATCAGAGGCGCACAGGTCCAGCAGGAAGTAGTAGGGCGCTCGGTGCAAGCTCTTGTCTTTGACCAGCAGGATGGAGATCAGGAGGTTTCCAACCACACCTACTCCAATGATGAAACCCAGAGAGGTCAGTTTGAGGAACGTGGCGAGAGGAGAGACATTCTGCAAGATGGTGTGGTCCCCTGCATGGCTATAGTTCGCCATAGATGGAGGAGGGATCATAAAGATAGCGGAATAGCTTCAGCCAAGTATCATGATCTAGAGGTGGCAGGGGGAGGCGTTAGATCCATTTGGCGGTGTGCTTTGAAGAGGTTTCCAGGCATATAGGCAACCTCTCCTCTAAGGCATCCTTTGTTCCTTTGTCTCATCACACCTAAAAAAAAAATCCCTGAAAAATATTATCCACCCATAAGCATTCAGTCTCATACAACAACTGCATTGTTTTCAACTGCACTTGCACAATCTAGAATGTGATAAGAAATAATTTCCCTCTGCCTGCTATTTATTTATTTATTTATTTGTTTTACATTTTAACATTTAGAGTGGCACAGTGCAGAACTCTGCCCCAGCAGGAATACTTTGTCTAGAGACAGACAGACAGTGATGGAGCTTGATTAGACTAAAGCATTAATCTGATACAATATTAGAATTTTTTCATGTGGCTTCGGAATTTCCTGAACAAAAGCACCATGGTGGCAAAAACACTTCATTAAGAAACGATGCATTTTTACGCGTGCCTCTCAGAAAAGAAAGAAGGGTTAGACAAAAGCGTCTCGATTTGGATTCTTTTGGACATGTTTTTAGCGCACTGTGAAACATTAAGAGAAATGCAGTCCAAAATAAGCTCTTCTTGAGCCCACCCCGCACCCTGCAGAACAGAGGACGCCTCTCTACAACGGCAGATGCCTCGAATAAACTCGCCCTGCCTTTATGCATTGTGGAAAATCGCCGTAGTGCATACATAAGCATTCGTGTTTTTGTCTGATTAAAGGTTAACTGGATTACGGGTTTTACGTTAATACGCAGTGTTCTCATTAGGGCGTTTATTGACCCAGACTCCATTTTCCAGATCATCCTTAATATTAGTAATTACGAAGATTGAAGAGAATAACTTGTACTATGTAATACTGACATTAAAGCTAAAATACTTGCTATTGCGCGGGTGTGATTATCAATCGGGATGGACTGAAAATGACTGGAAGTAACAATAACAAGCCTGCTGCTATTGATATTATATGATGTTCTACTTGATCGCTATTTTCATTGTCTGGAAAATTACACACAGCCTGTGGTAACATCTGATTTCATTTGTATCGGCGTTTGTGTCTACTTACGCGTTTAAATGCGTCCTCCGATTGTCAGTCAAGTGTTCTACGCGCGTTTCATAGAAAAAACACAGCAGGTTAAAAGCATCGTCCTTGCATCCCAATCGACTGGATAAAGCATAACAGTATAGCGGATTCGTACGTCCATTAGACTAGAATTATTTCCAGCTCCCCGCTATGAATTGCCTAGAATCGCAGCCACCACACAAGACAAGGCCAAAAATAAATAAATAAATTACCCCCCTCCAAAAAAAAAAGAGAGACAGATGGAGAGACAGCCGATCACAAGATCAATCAAAATCCTACCTGTTGATAATCGTATTTCGTTTCCCTCCTGGAGGTTATTTACATTGCACACGTCGGGTTTTTGCTGTTTTAAAAAAGCCTGATTTGTTGCCTGCCCCCTTTTTTCCTCCACGGTGAATATCCTACAGTAAGCGGAGCCCAGCGCGCATGCGCCCTGCATCCCTATTTGTGATCCAAGACGCGTCTTGTCTCTTGTTGCAGCAGCAGCAGCAGCAGCTCCCTCTCTCTCACAGTAACATCTGCTCAAAGGGGCCGCTGCTTGCAGGTAACGCGTTACAGCAGTAGCCTATACTCGCTATTTCCCCTGGTAACGTGTAGTGTAACGGTTTACTACTTCAGGTCAGTTTTACACCCAGTGTCTAGTTAAAACTTCTTTATCATTCTCCTGACTGTGAAGATTTAGACCTACTTCTTTAAAGTGACATGTTTGAATATTTTTCTTCATAGAAAACAAGCATAAATGATACAAAAGCTGAATGTGGTTCAGTCTATGCTGATCATATCTCTTTTATTATGTGTTTTATCTCCTTGTTTGGGCCTTTTGCTTCATAATAGTTTTTTTGTCAGATGTATTCAGCTATAGCATTTGTGTAGCTCTCTCAGTGCACTCATACATGTTTCACTCTACAGAAATGTCAAGGTGAAGGGTTAAATTAGGCTGCCAGTTCACCTCAAGGTAGAATGAATTGATCTGTACTGTAGATGCATAATTGACAAGCACTCTGCGCCCTGTTATTCATTCTGCCCGGGCAGCATGACAAATTCATAGTATCCTATTTCTTATCCATGTATGGAGAGCCATAATGTCATGAGCAGTGTAAACAATGTAAGTAAACAATGATTTTGCACAAGTGCACACACACACAAACTGAAACACGTTTTCATATGTACCTGGGCTATAAAACATTAATTGATTGTATGTAGGAAATGTGTCACTACTGTGTTACAACATTCACGTAGGCCTATAGGGCACAGTGTAAACTGTGCAGATTTTGCAGTCAGCTTACCACATACCACAGACATAGTGACCTCGAGATTCAATAATTAATTTTTCTTCAAAGGAACCTTTACTGCCCTGCAGACACGGTTAAATTAAAAACAAGACCTTAATGATTTTGTGCATGTCCCAATATTCTCTAATGAACAGTTACTCATTTTGGCATAGACCATGTAAACATTTTGATGTATCACCATGCCAGGGTTAAAAAATGCTTTTAACCATCAGTTATACAAGGTAATGAAGGTGATCTTTTTTTATATACAAATGAGTTTCAATTAAAAAAAAGCTTATTATGGTTGATCTAGTGGTAGAAAGTAAATAAGTACATTTACTCATGCTGTACAATTTTGAGGTACTCATGCTCTACTTGCCACCTTGCTTACTTCTACTCCACCACATCTCAGAGGGCCCCTCATGTTTCAGATGTCTATGCATCCTTAGCCGTTCTTACAAGGAGACATTCCTCTCTAAACTTCTCACATGGTTTCATTTAAATAACTATTTGAGGACCAAACAGGTAAAAGTATCCAATATTTCATGCTAAAACCTAAGAAGACAAAGTCCAAAAATGTATACACATATCATAACTTTGTTCTTTTCTTCTTTCCAACCCCATTAATCATCTCACTACTTCACAGATTGATCTTGTGAAACTTTCAGGGGCCCGACCTCTGGGTTGGGAACCAGTGGGATAATGTACCCAACTGTAGGCTGCTGTAAATAAAGTAGTGACTTTGACATATATCAGTCAAAGGAGGGATTTTCAGAGCCAGCTTACTTTTGATACTTCTGTACTTTTAAAAGTAGGTGAATGCAGCACATATAATGGAGTATTTTATTGCTTTGTTTGCTTAAGTATACTTAACACTGATTTGCTCAAGGTTTGAAATGTCAAGCAGAGAAAATGTCAGACAGTTCCGACGAAATGTTGCAGAAGTTACAGAGCAAAAATAATGTCAATTTAGCTAAAAGTTTAAATGTGGCTATCCTCACCTCACTTTTAGATCATCCACCGCCAACCAATAGCCTATAATTGGACAGTCGACATTCCAAACACATCACATAAGAGAGCTCCTATTAAAAGATGTGACTGCCTTAAGCCACTACAGATGGCTTGAAGTTTTAAACATTTACAGGCTGCAATCAGAACCTTCACAAAACACATTTAAATCTTGTCAGAAGGGGATCTGATCCACATTTGGACATGAAAGCACACTTTCCACACTTTGTAAATGAAAGAAAATTGGGGGAATGTGATCATCTAGCATATCATTCAAATAACACGCAAACCATGAGTTATGAAGAGCATCAGATCAATCAGTTTATTATTCTCAAAGCTTTTGGTACACATTTTGACAGCAGAAATTGCAACAACAGCTCCACTCTTTTCATACAGGCCAACCACATGTTGATATTGTGCTTGACCATGATGTGTTGCGCATTGCAGACATAAACATGTCAGGAAATCACAGTGATCACTCCAAGCATGGCAGAATATGCGCAACATGCAATGCAAGCGTCCACAGGAGAATATACAGTAACTGCAGCAGTCTTTTCATATAGAATGAAACCGTGTTTGGTCTTTCATCTCAGCCATGCAACAAATAAACAGTTCCTGGTTTTGGACTTCCTAGATGTCTGTCTCCTTCTCCAACAGTCCACGTGGTTCCTGTTGCGCTTAACGTATTCATTCCAATAAGGCACGTTTCTTATTAGTCGCTTCCACACAAACATAATGCCAGAAAGTCCATATGATATGATATAATATAAGAGGTATTAATGCGGTGGAGGATAACATGGCAGGACAGGCGCACAATCAAGAGAGTCTCGCTCACATCTGTCCGTTCCGCCTGCGTGCGTACCAGCCGAGGAAGGCGCAGAAACCCACCACGGTCAATGTGGTGCCCAGGAGCAGGGCTAAAGCGTCGCCCGCATCGTAAGCCTCGGCCGGGGGGATCAGAGAGAGAATGATCAGCCACACGATCGCCACAAGTTCAAGTTTGGGAGCCATGTTGAGTTTCCGCTGTTGCTGTTGACTTTCGGGAAACTGGAGCGCATGCGTCAGAGTCAGATGACAGCAGCAGCGACTGGAACTTCCTGGTGCGCTCAGCCAATTGCAGACCTGCTTTATTCTAAACTGCGCCTTTTGGATGTTTTTTTTTCCTCTCTTAAAGAACATTCTCTTTTTATTTCCCCAGGCTTTTGTCCCGTACAGAAGTGATTGCACAATTCTGCTATTGTTTGAATTCTTTTTCAAATGAAATTCAAACTGGTTTTGGGATTCAAACTAATTATTCCACAGTTAGTGGATTTGTGACTTCACTCCTCTTATTAGTGACTATTAGGCTGACAAGCCATGAGTACTTCATGTCTCTGCCCCTCAGGCCCTGCTATAAACAAACCATGAGACTATTTTACATCAGCCAGGCTCATCAACAGTTCCTGTCTGGTGCTTGATATTCCATCTGAAGAAAACAAGTGTTGACATGCATAGGCTATTACTGTATGTTGCATGCGACCCTTGTTGGTCAAGGTCAGATCAGAAAATATTTTCCACATTAAACCGCCTCAAGGTTTGTGAACTTTCCTGGTCAATTTTAATATTTCAAAAAAAACCTCTCCAATTCCACCCTGGCTGCTCTGTGCCTCAGTACGCTCCTGATCTCCTGAAACATGTTGAAATTGTTTCAAATCAGCCATGCTGCAAGGACTAAACACAGCACATCTCAGCTCATGCCACAAATTGTTTGGCTTGCAGAGCTGTGGGAGGGGTTGCAGGTACTATATCTCTCTGTGTGCTCTCCTGGGGCACTTTGCCTGTAATTTAATTAGAGCGCACAAACCAAAGTAAAATATTGACCTTGTAAGGCTGCCATACCTCTGTACCTGCATGCTCCGAGCGAGGAGATGAATAGGCTGCTCACTCGCTCTTCTGCTCTGGCTGTCTGTTTGGCAATTTGTCTCACACACATTTTTGTGAGGCCTGTCTGATCTCTATGACTGCATTTGGCGGACCACATGACCACTCCAAGCCCCTCAAAGAGCTTCTTATTTTGAAGATAAATCATAAAACAGCTGAATCTGCTACTGTCTTGCATATTATATTATTAGTAGTAATATATTCATTCCCTAAACTAAGGCATATTTTAGCTCTTAATAACAACAGAAAACCCAACTTAAGAGATGTTTTTACTGTGTGAAGCCATCAGAAATGTCCTCTATATTCATAATGTGGTAACTACACTTGCAGATATAGCCTACAAAAAGCAGCAGCAGCAGCAGCAGCACTTACCCTGGATCTCAGTGCAGTGTTGGTAATTGATCAGTGGGAGGATGAGAGAATATCCAGAAATGAGAGTGTTTGTCTAACAGGCCAGGACAGTGACATTAATCTTCCCTAGTTATGTGTTCTGCATCGTAATGTGCTGCTCAGCACCGTCCCTAAATTTGTACACTGACTGAAAACGACTCATTCGGTACAATATGTAGACTTATGTGCATTTTCAAGGCTTAATCACTTTAAAGTCAAAGTGGATTTTTTCGAAAGAGGATAAAACCTTTTTTTTTTTGGACAAATTTGTGGAAACAGCCAGGGTAGCAAGGAGACGAGCTGTCAATGTCCGTAGTGTAATGACTGCAGCAATTCATAGTTCTTTTCACACTATTTCAACAAGCACCTGGTGTGGTTATGTTAGCGAGTAAAAACATCAAGCCTCTTACAACGTTTGAGACAATCCATCGTGCTGTTAAGTGGAAGCTAGCAGGCTAGTCTGACTAGCTTACACTAGGAAAGTTTAGCTAGTCAGCCTAATTTGCCACTATTTTCAACACCTGCTGAGTCATTGTCCAGCTCATGCACACATGTAGTATATAAATATATATAATATATTCAAATAAAATAATTACAATTGTGACCAAATATGTACACGTCAAAACAAACACCAATGATATACATTCGGATTTCTTAGCAAAATTTATTTTAATTTCAGTTAAACTTCAGGTGTGTGTGTGTGTGTGATTCACTTTAAGAGACATTTCTTCCCCTCAGTCCAGTTAAAGTGCCACTAGCTTCCAGGAATCTGTGGCATACCTGGCAATGAAGGCGCTCTATAAAAATGTCCATCTCAACTTGTGTTTTAATTCAATATAGGGATGTGTTTGAGTGTGTGTTGGCATAAAGCATGTGTGGATTTCTAAAAAGAAAGCTTCCAGTCCTTTCTATAATATATCATATTTCTGTGTATTTGAATTTCCCTTTTATAAATTTTAAATACTTCCATGTTCCGTGAGTTGTTTTTTGTATCTTATTTGATGCTGGCCAAGGACACTACGCTGAGGTTGTCTGTCTCAAATGTTTTAGAGGTACAATGAACTGAAAAGGGCAGTTTTCAGAGTCCTTGGTTTTGCATCATCCATTCTCAATTACTTTCCCCAACTGTGAGGACAGATTTCCACCTTTACCAAACAGCACAAAACATATCTCCCTGAAGATTAATTATGTTCTGAAATTGGTTTCTCAGGAAACACTGAAAAGCTGACCCTTTAAAGCAATTGCTGCTTTTGTAGTGGTTCAGTGCACCATCCATAATGAGTTGTACTGTGAGGGACATGACAAATGGATTTTCCTGTGTCTTTTGTGGCAGTGTTCTAGATGTTGAAATACTTAAGAGAGCCTGAATCAACACCAGAAAAAGAAAGAAAGGGCAGCTTGGTTCTGCGTAATAGTGTTGGACCACACTGACTCACACACTGTTAGGGATGTGGGATGAGTTTCACAAACATACAGAGCAAACCTGCAAAAAGATGAATGACTGAGGGAGTCTGAGGGTGGATGCTTGACAGTCACGCATCTGAGTGTTACTCTGACAGTTGTATAATGCTTTAAAGGGTAATCGATTCATCCTTGCATTGTTGCTTTGTTTTTGCAAAGACTCAAAAATTTGCTTCAGATAAATTGTCACAGTGATATTTAGTCATCTTTTATGTCAATGTAACATTATCATCACATGGTACGCAGTTATACCCTTCCTTCCTTGCAGTGCAGATTCAGCCATTGTCAGAAAATCATACCCAGATTTAACCCCTGATGTTGTAAGAAGGATTGTGTAAATATAATCCCCTTCTTTTTTGTGGCTAGTGTTAGGTATCAGTTACCCAGAAAATGTTTTGAAAATAGTCATCAGTAATATTTCTGTAGATCTGAAGTTAATGGGCTAAACAAGCAAGAAGATAGTTCTGAAAAGAAGACAGAACATTTCACACAAAACACATCAAACACGTTAGCTAACAATAGCCTATTTAAACAACCAGCTAACACGGAGCAACAATGGCTGTCTTGATAAAAATATCTAGTTCTTCAGCTGCTAAATGCTCCTCTGTGTTGACCAGCTAGTTGCTAACTTTGTCTGTCTGCTATTTAGTGCTGGGCAAATAGCATCCAGTGGAGTTTTTCTGCTAAAAACAGCTGCAGGTGTGAGTTAATTAAACAGTAAAGTTGCGTAAATATGCTAACATGCTCCATAAAGCTGAGGGGAACTGAAGAATCGGGTGATATTTCTCTGTGGGTTTGTCAATTCATATTTTTCAGTCACATGACATGCGCAGTGACCGGAGGGCAGAACAACAGACTAAGATAGTGGCTCACACCGAACTCCCTCGTAGAGACACTGCAAAAGCCATTACATTTTATTTGGATCACCTCTCAACTCAAGAAAAAGATAGACACAGACACAAACTGCAAGTGTTGGTACTTTGGATCCATATCCAGCCCCGCTGCCGTATTCCCGCAGTGACAAATGTTTCCGTTTACCTTGAGGGGAATCCCTTACCTAACACAGCTCAGGCTTGCCTCCTCATCAATTAGTGCATCCGAAATAACCATCCAGCATTTTGGTAACGCAAAAGTAACAAACTCAAAGTAACAGTGTATCAATTGCTTCCTGGTTAGCAGGCAGCGGAAAACAACGTCTTTTTTGCGCTCCAAGGGAGCGTTTTCAGAATGTGACGTCATGTGAAAACTAAGAATACAAGCAACTATTTTTACATTATAAATGGATCTTTTTCGTTGTTGATAAAAAATATTGATTAGTGCAGAGTCAAATATCTACACATTCTTAAATGTTCACTGTCTTGTTGTTCAGCATTTCAACACATGGTTCATTTAATGCGGCATATTAGTGAAATGCAATCAAATAAAACTCAAAGCATCATCATTTTGCTGCAGAGCTTCAAGGGAGTTAGTTAATGGTTAGTCATAATAGTGGGTGTATCTCCTGGTGATTTCCCCCCTGGAGTTCCTTACAGAAATGAGTAGAAGCAGCACTAGTCCTAGCAGTGTGTAGCAGCGGGCAGGAGTTCAACACATTTGCCTTAAGCTCAGAAGAAAGATATGACAAATGCATTTCAAAAATAAAATATCCAAAAACAAGGACTACTACCATATCAGTTTGATTTATTACACAGCAACACTAATGGGAGGAAACTCTACAAAATGGCTCGGTCCTTTACATTTTTCATTCATCAGGTGATGAATCTTCAGTAATGTATTTTATTTGTAATTTGTTTTCTAAAATGGATTTATAGTGTTTTGGAGAAGCATTCAAATGGTTTAATTTCAATAGCATCTGTTTTACTGGTGAGCTTCTCTGAAACAAAATAGATTGACGCGTTTGGAATAGATGAGAAACAGAACAATACTGATTTACTCAAGGTGATCAAGTTTTCTTCAGCTGCACACTAATGTGTAGCCTGTATCAAACACACACACACACTGTGCACTTGCAAATGCATGGGAAATTGATAGCTCATCAAATTTCCTGTCATTGTGTAAATGTCACCTCTGTAGCTCCCAATGATGCATGCAGTCATGTGGTTGGTTCATCATCAGCAGTGTTCATTTACATGTTTGCATATATTTGTCACACACACATACACACATAAGAGAAAAAAAGTCACAGGTGTCACAGGTTAAAATTCTAAGTCAGTTTTTATGAGAATTAAAAGATTTTTTTAAATAGTTGGACAGCGGGCTGTTTCCCCCTGTTTCCAGACTTTATGCAAAGCTAAGCT